CGGCGCCCCCGTCGGCCTCGCCGCATCCCCAGGCTCATAGACCGCGATATCCCCCGCCACGACGACGGCATCGCGCCCATCCCACGCGCTGGACTCGATCCACGCGACGCTGTTGAAGAGGGCGGACGTGCCGCCGTAGCACGCGTTGGTGGTGTCGGCGCCTTCGACATTGGTGTTGGGAGCGAGGAGGGGCATGAGGAGGGTTTTTATGGACTTGGAGCGGTCCGGGGGGCTTTCGGTTGCGACTTCCAGGCGGCCGATGCTGGTGGGCGGGATGTGGTGGTTGGTGAGGAGGGTGGAGAGTGTGGTTAATGCGAGCGACGCGGTGTCGTCGTGGTCGCTGGGGATGGCCATGGATGTTTGCCCGTGGCCGAGGGTGTGTTTGCCCGTGGGCGCGTGGAGGTGCGTTTCCAGCGTGGTTTGGGGGATGCTGGTGGGGGGGAAGTAGATCTCCAGGGCTTTGATGCCGATGTTGATGGGAGGGGGTTGTGGGGGGCATGGTTGGTTTGGTTTGGTCTGGGGGGACTGGGTTGGATTGGGTTGATGGTTGGGGTTGGAGGGGCATAAGATTGGGATGATGGGAGGAGGAGGAGGAGGAAGAGTAGAAGCAGAGGAGGGGGGGCTTGGTTTAAATGTAGCTCAGCTGAGGATGTGCCGGTGTCGAACTTACTACTATGCATATACCTGTCTGTCTGGAGGTTGTCATGCAGAAGTTGAGGACAGCCGAATAGCTGGTGAGCCATCCCCCGGACTCACGGGGACCGGATGTCAACCCAGGCTAACTCACTATGTGGCTATAGAGACTGTGATAGGGGTGAGGGGTGATGCTGTGGATATGCAAGAATGGTGAGTCTGTCTGTCTTCGTTTCTAAGTGTCTAGCAATGATGCTGCTCATCAATTATAGTACTCAATCAATCTACAAACAAACACATTCATGAAAACAAACAATATAAATCAATACCAATTTCCCTCTCGACTACAGCATTACTATATACCGATAGGTACAACACTACCACAGCATTATCATCACCACCACCGCCACTCGCACCCCCATTTCCCCCCCTCCTTCCCTACCCTCTAACCCCTACCCTCTAACCATAACCATCCCCATAACCACCCCCTATCCATACCCTATAGTACCTCCCCATCCTAATTCTTCCCCCCCACCAACCTCGACCTCCTCACCACATCCCCCGCCAACCCCCTCAACGACTTCGCCTCCAACAGCTCAAACGTCCCCACAGTGGCCTTCGCCTCCGTCTCCAACCAATTACAAAACGTGGCTGCGATCAGCGAATCCACCCCGATCGCACTCAGCGGCACATCCGTCTCGATGTCCTCTTCATCTGTCCCCAGCAACCTCGCCATCTTGGCCTGCATTTCGGCCGACATGCTCTCTGTTGCGGCGGCTAGGGTCGTGGCTTTTTGCAGGGTGGAGGGGAGGGTGTTTTCCTCTACAGTTGGAGTGGGATTTGGGTTTAATTCGGGGGGGGTTGTGTCTGGGGCTGTGACTGACGGAAGCTCGGTGGGTTTGACGGTGATGTTAGGTTTAGTATCAGTGTTAGTGTCAGTGTCAGTATCAGGGTCGATAGGGACCTGCTTTGGAGAAGCAGGCGATGGAGGCGTCGAGACGGAGGAGACGGATCCTGAGCTGCCGCTGATGGAGGATCGCGAGTCGACGGAACTGATTGTTGATGAGGAGATTCGTCGGGCTGGGATTGACGGATCTTCTTCTTCTTCTTCTTCTTCTTCCTTTTCCTCCTTCGCCCTCTCCTCCTCTTGCTGCAGCCGCAGTTGCAGCTGACCCTTCTCTCCGCAAGCCTGAACCGTCACCTGGCAGCTATCCTCAGTGCGAACAGGATGCAAAACCGCGCTTTTGAGCAACGAGACGAGAACCTCCTGGTCAGGGTAGTTGATACCACCACCTGCGGAATTCTCTCCACCAGAGTGAATATCCACCGCCACGAAAGGAAGGCCGTAAGACGCGCGATGCTGAGCGATGACATCCACCGCACTGGAATGCGCGCTGGCGGCAGAGAATGCGGCCAGGAAGTCGAGGGACATTGGGGCGGTGACTTCGTGGAGGATGGTTGCTTCGGTGATGGAAGTGAGGAGGGAGTCTGTGGTGGTGGTCTGTATCGATCTGATCAGTTCACCATTTACTGGTGGCGTGGGTTATTCCCAGACGGATGGGTCTTACAGTCTGCATGGTTCTGTCGTGGATGATCCCCCCGACGCGCCAGCCATCGGTGCTCCACAGGGACAGCACGGTTGACAGTCTTGCCGCGCTGGACAGACAGTCCGTGTAGACCTGCAGCTTTGCGCCTGCGTCGCGCAGGCTGTTGAGAACGGCACTGCCTGCGGGGCTGGGGTTTCGGTCTTTGATCAGGAAGATCAGGGCTCCGGCGTCGGCGCCCCAGGCCAGCAGGGAGGGACAGAGCAAGCGGGCGATTCCCTCGGGGTTGCCGATGATCACGTAGGCAGTGTTGGCATGCAGACGGATGGTGTGGGTTGAGTCGGGGAGCCATTTGAGGGTTTGGTCTGGTTTTATGTTGGTGGTGGTGTTGGTTGGCTCGGTAGTCTGACTCTGCGCCATGGTATGAGGATCAGGATCAGAGACGTGGTGATGCAGGATGTTGAGCAGGGATCGGAAGATGATATAAAGAAAATAGAGCAGATGGAGATTGATCATGTCGACCGACATGTCTTCACGATTCTGTCACAATGCCATTTCAGTCTCTTATGTATCTGGTTGGTGTTGGCGAGGGTCGGTGATGTTGACATCACATCACAATTAACCTCCGGGGAGACCTCGAGTCCGGATGTAGTCACCCCCGGACATGAGATGGGCCTCGAACATGACATCTGTACTATCATTTGCCTCTTTCTCTCCGGGGACATAGCATGTCCCAATAATTGCCACAGGTCAAGTCTCCACCGGGTCTAGATACATATATAGCCCTCCCCCTCCCCCCCCGACCACCCAAGCAGTACTAGCACACACTCAACCCTAACTTTCATTCCCCATTCAATCCCATCATCCAAGTCCGCGCCGAGTACCCATATCCAGGCTGATCTTCACCATGCCCTCCACCGACAGGAAATACCCCCAGATCACCGCGGAAAACGTCTGCCAGCTCTTCCCTGATGTCCAGCCCCTCTCCCTCTCTCAGACTGCCACCCACCCCACCAGCACCACGGTCCACCCGGAGCTGGTCGGCCGCGATGAGGAGCAGATCCGGCTGATGAACGAGATGTGCATTGTTGTGGACGAGGACGAGAATGAGATTGGGATGGCGAGTAAACGGGCCTGTACGGTACCCCCTTCTCCCCTTCTCCCCTCTCCCTCTCCCCTCTCCCCACTCCCCAGACAGCACCATTCCCATTCCATCCCATCTCTTCCCAGATATCTCTCCCACCCTCTTATCCCCCACCCCCCCAAAAAAAACCCCCAAACAATACTAAAAGAACAGGCCACCTCCTCCCCAACATCACCCAAGGCCTCCTCCACCGCGCCTTCAGCGTCCTCCTCTTCGACACCTCCAACCGACTACTCCTTCAACGCCGGGCCAGCGAGAAAATCACCTGGCCAGACTACTGGACGAACACCTGCTGCTCACACCCACTGGCCATCGCCGGGGAAACAGGGGCGGACTTCCACGCCGCGATGGCGGGGGCGCGGCGGGCGGCGCAGCGAAAACTCGAGCACGAGCTGGGCATCCGGCTGAGCGATGCGCAGGCCGAACGGGGGCTGAAGTTCATGACGCGCATGCAGTACGAGTGTGCGTTTGAGGGGGGGTGGGGGGAGAAAGAGGGTATGTATGAAACAATCCTTGTGCCTATTTCTCTATTTCTATTTCTATTTCTATTTTTTATTTTTTTGGTGGAAATGTGCTCCGTTGTGGCTGAGCTCTGTGGCTAATAACTATACCATTCTGATTGTGCTTATGGTTGAGATTCTGCAGTGACCTACATCTTCATCCTCCAGCTAGACACAGACCTCGATATCAACAGGAATGAGATCCGCGATTATCGCTACCTGAGCCGGGAGGAGTTCGGGGAGATGTTCGCGGACCCGACTCAGCTGTTCACTCCCTGGTTTAGGCATATGGTGAGGGAGTTTTTGCCGGCTTGGTGGGATGCCCTTGAGGAGGAGGGTGGGGTGGAGAGGTGTATGAATGATCCGGGGCATTATAGGTTTTGATCTGTTCATCTGTTTTTTTTTTATGTTGATTGGTTCAGTTTGGTGATTGGGGAGTAAAAGGGGGGGGGGATATATATCATGGTTGGTTAGTTGGGTATAATTTGGTGGGATATACAGAGTAGATAAGGAGTTGTTTCAGGTGGGGTATTGATTAATTGAATATGGCGGTTTAAATATAGTCATGAGTATGACTGTGATGTGAATTATAAAGTCAAAGGTTAACTGTTACGGAGTAGATCTGTTAGAATTATGGGTTGATTATATTCAGACAAAGGCAGGCTGCTTCTCTCTCCTTAAAAAAAAAAAAGATACTCTGTGATCATTAATGATATTAGAGTAGTCTGTGAATTCAATCCGCTGTATATCTCTTATCTGATTCCATCAAACAAATATACCACCATCATAAACCAACCACACATTAAACTAGAAGCAGCTACTACTTCTTACAAACCAGACTCCTCCCCCCAGGACCGCCACTCTCCCCCAACACCCCTCCAACATCCCCTCCAACCCGTCCCGCCCTTTCTCCCCCTCCCCCTCCCCTCCCAATCCCTCAACAACTCCCTGGCAGCCTCTCCCTCGTCTCTTCTCTCTTCCCTCCCATCCCCATCCCCATCCCTATTCTTATAAAGAACCCCCACCCCTCCCTCCCCCAAACCAGACCTATAAACCCCAAACCCCTCCGCCTCGAACTCCCCTACCAACCCCCCCCACCCTCTCCCAAAAGAACAAACGCACAACCCCCCTCCCCGCCCCCGTCAACTTCATCCACCCCCCTCCACTCTCCCTAACAACATCCTTCACCCTCTCCAACCGCTCACAGCTCGCCCCCAGCGCCACCAAGCAGTTATGGTTCATCTCGACTAAACGGCCCAGATGGCGCCTTAAATCCCATTTCCGTCCTACTCCTACTGCATCTGCATCTGCATCTGCATCTGCATCTGCATCTGCATCATCACCCAAACACTCCCCCCCACCCCCACCCCCACCCCGACTAACCCGGCATAACCCACCGAAGAACGAACCAGCACATCCCTCGCGAGATCGGTGATCCGCGCAATGGTATCCAGTATATGCATCGTGGAGAGCGGGTAAGTCATCAGGGTGGATTGGAGGGACGCGGTCGCGGCGGTGGTTGAGTGCGGTTGGTGGGTATTTACGAGGAGGGTGGGGAGGGTGGTTCTGAGTCTGAGGGGGGGGATGGTTATTTTGGGCTGGGATGTTCTGGGGAGTGGGCTTGGGGTTGTGGGTGAGGAGTCTTCTGGTGGGGGGTGAGGTTGTGGCTGGGATTGGGATTGGGATTGGGATTGGTCGTGATCTTGATCGGCGCTTGAAGAGCATAGCTGATCCCCCCGACGTGGGAAATACAGTATCCCTCCCCTCGCAGACACCGCATTGTCCACTCCGCTTGGGCAGCCGTGGAAGAAGTGCTCGGAGATGAATGACCAGGTGGTTATTAGGTTGATGTGGGACGCGGATTCGGAATTAGTATCGGACTCAGTCTCAGCAGAAGACTCCGATGCCCACTCGAGGAAATCTCTCGGCAGATGGCAAGTCTGCACAAGAATCGCAGTAGCCAGGCACACCGAGACGCTGGCACTACTCCCCAGGCCCGCGCCGATGGGGATGCTCGAGCGGAGGGTATACGTCGCTGGGTGGGTGGATGGTGTTGCGAGAGAGAGGTAGAGGTAGAGGAAGGCGAGGGATATGGGGTCTTTGGTGGTTGTGGTTGTGGTTGTGCTTGTTGCGGAGAGGTGTGATGTTATGGCGGCGATTAGGGCTGGCTCTGGATGTGAAGTTGGAGGGTCTGGCTGGCTGTGGGTGTGGGTGTGGGTGTGGGTGTGGGTGTGGGTGCGTGGCCATGGGAGGTCGTGGATGGACCATTCGAAGAAGAGGTTGCTGTCGAGACATTCCAGGCGGAGGCTTGGGGTTGGAGTTGGGTTCGGGGTCACCAGCAGGTAGGACCGCAGGCTGATGGCGGCGGCAATGGCAGGGCGGCCGCAGATGGCGGCGTATTCGCCGAAGAGGATGACTTTGCCGGGGGCGGATACGGCGAATGGGGCTGGGGCTGGGGCCATGTTCATGGCTATGTTTGTGATGGGGTGTGGTGTGATGGGATGGGATGGAAGGGAAGTGATTGAGCTTGATCGAGTCTTTATGTTTTATGTTTGGACATTCTGACGGGTTCTTTAGTTCAGGCAAATGCACCAGTGGTATGTAGGTAGTATGCTTGGGAGGCAGCCCCGGGGCAGGAGATCCGGGAGTGGAGTGGAGTGGAGTTGGTGATGGGCTATAGACTATCCAGACTTCAGTAGGTTTTGTGTTGGGGGTGGGGTGGGTTTCTGGGATGGATTGCATTCTTGAACCGTTGGGTCAGGAGGGTTGGGTGGTCTCCCTTCGCTATGGATGCAGAATCAATTCTTGGACACGAGAGATATGGTGGATTTGGATAGTCGGGTCGATGAAGTCAAGTAGATTGTAGTAATTAGACCAAACGAATGTGATGATTGATGATCTTGTAAGACGGCCCTGGGGACGGACTACACGGTGGCTATAGAGCCTAGTAGTATATATATAGTACTATACTATCTATACTATCCAGTCACCAAGACCACCCACACCCAATAACAAGCCCCTCCAAATAAAATATACCTTACCAGAGCACAGCAGCCTAGAAACCCGCCCCATGCCACCAATCTAGCTAATCTCCACCTCATGCAGGCGATACCTCGAAGCGGCGAAATGAAACTGCACCATGCCCTTCATCCAGGCATCCGTCACAACCTGCAGCTGGGGAATCTCCCCCACCTTACGACGCATATCGTCATACGTGGCAATCATCCTCTGCGTCGTCTCGACCAGCTCCCTATACAGCGAGATGCCGCGACTGCGCGCCTCCTTATAGATATAATTGCTGCGCTCATCCCCCACCACAGACTCCTTATAGAACGACAAATCATCATTCAACACGACCCCCATCTCAGACAGATCGGGCATGAGCCCAAACAACACGACCTCGACATCCCGAATCGGCGCATCGTAGAGCACCGGCGCGAGCAGAAAGTAGCCATACGGCTTGCCGAACCCTAGCAGCCAGCGGAAGAACTGCGTGAAGTTGGCGGAGACCTGGTCGGCGGAGAAGGCGCGGCCGGACGACTCCATGACCATGGAGAGCATGGCTTCGAAGGTGGTCGCGTAGATCATCCCCATCGTGAAGTCGGAGTAGTGGGGCTCCATTTCGGCGAGCGATTTGCGCAGGATCTCCAGCGGGCCGCGGGGTTGGGGCTGTCCGGTCTGGATTCGCTTGCCGAAGAGCTCGATGTCGGAGTGGAGGTCGGGCGCCAGGTCGTCGAGACTGAGGAAGCCGGCCGTGTAGAGGCCTAGGATGCGCTGGAGGCTCGTGGGGTGCGTGCTGTAGAAGGTGACTGCCAGCATGGCGCCGTTCACGGCGTATTTGGGTCCGACTTCGGGGCCGAGTTGTGCGATGCAGTCCGCCGTGATGGAGTCGATGATTGGGGTTATGTCGGGTTGGTCGCTCGGGTTGATGTTGTACTGCTTCACCCAGATATTGAGGATCTCGCTGAATTCGGCTTTGGAGACTGGCGTGAGGTCGGAGGTGGACATGTTGAGTAGGAGTGAAGATACTGGAGGAGCAAAGATGTTGTTTTTCTTGGTATGAGCTGTGAATGTTCGTAGGTCTCGGGATTGGAGTCTGAATATAAGCATCTGGTGTGGTGACTGTTCATCGACTGGTATACAGTCAGACCCGGAGTCTGCCAGAAGCTCATGAGACCGGGAGTCATGAAGAACCTTATAGATAACGATGCGGATAGCTCTGTAGAAGACAAGTAAGCTGGTCTTATGGGAGCTGGTGACCTGCCCTAAGTGGATAGCGACGCTAAGCCCCGAATTAGGAGTCGCCTTTACGCTGAGAGACCATCGTGCGCTTAGCCTATAAAGAAAGAGAGTTTTGTCTAAATCAGCAACTGAGCCGAAGCGCTTACATTGATAGCGCGTTCCTGTGAGACAGTTGGGCAAATCTCATCGGCTGCTGCCCCGGCGGTAGAAGTCCATATCGACGTAAACCACTTATAAGGGAGTCAAATCTCGACCCAGGCATCCTATCCACTTGGACCTGAATAACGCACGTTTACACTATGGCCCGGATTAAAAAGAGTAGTGGAAGAAAAAGTTAGCTCCCGTGCTGATGTGCTGAATTTAGTTTGCTGAAGCATACAGGCTCCAACAGCGCCTGCCAACCACGAGATGCCTTCGACATGTTCCTCGAGGACAGGCTGAACGCGGCAAGAGAGAGATTAAATCTGCCGTATGGTAAGTCAGTCACACCGCATCATGCTTGTTCTGACCGCCCAGAGGATGTATACATGGAGCTAGCTATGACCTGGGCAAACGCTTCCCCAGAGTTCAAGCATCCGTACGAAGCGGATGCGGCGCAAGAAAGAGAATCATATCACCAAAGCCGCTTGGAAATGACAATGAATCCGGGGGACGGAAGCGATTGAGCATGCAGGCTCTGATAATCCATAGCACCACCGAATGAAGAAGTTTTCCAAATACTGATGGTATGACGATTATCTCACAAAGCATCATGGAGACGCATTTAGCAGACGCAGTCCTCTCTGACTACCACAGAGTATGTAGCCTTGCCTTGGTAATCCTGACCCATAGAATCAAGACGCCTTGCCAAGCTTCCGATTTGGGCCTATCCCATCTAGTTTGTGACTCTAGGACGTGTCATCCAGGCCGCGGTGCTTACGACCCGTGGCTCGTGAAGGTGAGGTTGACTTCCGGGTTGACCCCGGAACATGGAGCTCGACGAACTCATCGAGATCACGATAATAACTTGATCCGATGCTCTGAATTGGGTAACCAAAATGGACGAGAGTTATCAAGATTCGGAGTAGTCAGCATGTAGCTTGCGAGCCAAAGGGATAATAGAGTTATCGCAGGTGATTGTATCTGTCTGAATGGATGCATGCAGCAAAGCCAGCCACTGAGATCCTGGCCGAGTAAATCCGAGGAGGATCTGGGAATAACCTCATCTCCGTGGTATATTCTGCAAAGCTGGTCGAGATCAATCGAAATCGTAGTTGAAGTGGTCCGCGGAGATGGAGAGAAAGAGAGAGAGAGAGATACCTGAGGTAAATACGGAGCAGACAGGGAGAGGAAGAAAGACGTGCCCGTCGGGTATTTGGACATTTCCTGATCCGGTTAGGCGGCTGTCAGAGTACCGTACGGTTCCACGGGCACGGGGCACATCCGGGGCCCCAAGCCTGGATCCGCTGGAGAACCAGAACCGCCAACTTTATTCCTCTCCTTTCTTCTTTCCTTCAGTCGACTCCACGGACTTCTCTTGCCACATACCACGAGAACACGATCGAATACGAATCTCGGAAGCCGTGCTGATTGGTGTCAGATCAGACCCGGCGTCGCAAACGTGAGCGTAATGCCGTCTGGTATTGATATCCCGGAACGCCGAAAACGGCCCGTTTTCGTCTGGCATGTTGACGATGCCGCCCTGCAATGCATCGATGTGGTGATGCGCTGATAACCAGATTGTGTCATTTCTACCTCTTCCTCCAGCCACTGCTAATCAAGGAGAACCCAGGGCATCCGCGGAAGACAGTCCGCGGTGATATCGAAAATAGTACCTTGTATGGATGGCATCGCTGGACAGATCTATAAACCCCCAAATGCCCGGCCCGATGGAGAACTGGACAATGGAGACATATCGGCGAGATGGAACTCGTTAGCACGCAGGTCTCGGACGGTACCGAGTCAAGTCCCGAACGAGCCATCGAGCTCTTTCTTGCTTCCCACCCCGCCCAGAGACACCTCGATCTGCTCACCGAGATCCTCACCCAGAGCTCCAACATCGACGAGCGGGTGGCGGCCCTGATTCATGGCGCATGGTACCATGTCTGCCGCAACAACCTCTGGTGTCCTCGCTTCGGCAGCCTCGATGAGTACCGGCAGTCCATCGACTACTCCTCCGTGGTGAAGCCTATCCTTCAGCGCCACAAGAAGTCTGACCGGGCGAAGCAGCTGAGCTCGCAGATCATCCTGCGCCAGTGGAATGTCCATTACACTGTGGCCATACCGGAGACTTTCCGGCCCATCTTTTGGAGCAAACATCTGTTGACTCTGATGGGTGCTTTGAGCAAAGCAAAGCCCCTCCCGGAAGCCCTGGATCTGCTGCAGAAGAGCGTCAAGGCTAGGCCGCATCGCGGCAGGAGTCGACCTCAGCTTGTTCCAAGTGACGTCCAGCGTGTTCTTGACAGACTCAAAGCCACAAAGTCACTCCATCAAGGATACAAAGGTAGGTTCCTGTTACCATTTGGAAGCGCTTTGTACATTAACGCCCTCATCTAGGGACCATTCTTTCTCCACAGCATCCTGATAATGCTCAAAGCACCAGCCTTCCGGTATACGAGCAGAGCCGGAAGCAGAGTACTGGTCCCCTCACTGCCCTAGACTGCGATTTAGTACGGTCTGACAGCCTCAACTCGCCGTTCGTGGCAGCATCATTTTTCGATAGCATGAAGAACCTCATACCCGGCCCAGAGAATCAGATTGGAGAGCATAGCGACGTGAAAATAAATGCGTGTGGATGCGCCCCTATATGCCTGCCGTTGATTACGCTTCTGTCCGATAATGGGTCAGAATTGAGTCGACCGCTTGTTACCAGCTTGCTGCACTGGGCGAGGTCAGTTTCATGGGAGAGTCTCTGCGAAGACCACCTAAAAGAGCTCTACCTCCACATGGCTCTCGTACAACCCCACGGAATGGACCGCAGGGAAATAGTCCGACACTTGGAGATGTTCTGTAGCAGTCGACGCTCGTCATCAAGCTCAAGCGACTCATCCACAAAAGACCAGCTCAGTAAGCGCATCTCCAAGTCCTGTCAGGTACGAGCTAATATAAATAGTGTCACTTTTACCCCCAATTGCAGAGATGGCGGACGACCATCTGCTTTTCAGTCGCTACACTGCGATGCCAAGCCTCTGGTCTACATGGCAGAAAGAGGGAGTTGTACATATTGCGGGCTTCTTCGACTACCTGGAGCAATACGGAATCTTTGACCGAGTGCGCAACACTCTGAAGAGACACGCCTCGGGGGACGAATTCCAGCTCATAAGCCAGAAGTGCTACGAGCTGATCTGCCAAATGATCCAGCAGGATCCAGCGTACTACTCACTCATCGTCGCCTGTCGACCAGACAAGAACTGGAGGCTCATACATCGACCCGGCCATTATCACCGAGAAGGTCCACCATGCGCTGAAGAAAGGCTGGACTTTGATTTCGCCCTGGGACAGACCGATCCCCTATCGACTGTCAAAGGAACCAGCGATATTCGAAGCACGATCATGCTGCCAACCTTTCCCCCGGAACACGTACTCAACGTCGTCCCGGGGTCTCACCAACCCGCGGCGGAGAGCAATTTGGCCACCCAGTCATGCGGAACCAAATGTATCACCATGCACTCAGGCGACCTTGTCCTTACCATGCCCAACCTGACCCGGCATCCGGGGAGCTTCATGTCCCCTGCTCTCTTAAACATAACCCAAAGTGGAGTCGATGACAATTTCGAGACTCTAGAAAACGGCTACGGCGGGACATGGGCCCGACTAGCTATGATCCAGAACTACAAGGAGCTCGGGATGCAATATTTGGGACCTTTGGAGCGGTCATACGCCCCTTCCCACTTCCAAGGCTATGCAGGGGACGACAGCCGACTTGAGTCTGCCTCCGCGCTGGGCGAGGCGCTGATGGGACGCCGGGAGTGGAAAGACCGCAAGGTAATCCACCAGCGCAATATGGCCTTAGGGAGCGACGACGCCATCGCCCTGGGGTTTGTGAAGAAAGTCCGGGATCGGCTCGCGGTCGAATTCCACGAAACACTCGATTTGATCGAACTGTGTCATGAAGGATCCGGTAAGTCTCTACTCATCCATTGAATATCGAGTCTACCCACTGACAAACTACCAGCTGCATCCACCGCAATCGACCTATCTACCCTGCAAACACCACAATTATACGACTGTCCAAGCATGCACACCGGCATCGTCCCAGATATAGACTTCAACCTGCTGGATTTCTCATGGATTCCAGACCCAGTGTATGGCATGCAGCTCGATGCTGGGCTCGGTAAAGCCATGGATCCGACGGCTGCATTCTATACGCCTGAAGCTATTGACCATGCCGGCGATCTGATGTACCAGATCCTGGGCGAGTAGTGTGTATTATATGTGGCAGCTGCCAGGTCATACCGCCATTTTGTTCTGTCGTCATAAGCGGAGTGCTGTGCACTCATTCACCAATATAGCTTTTAGCACTGTGGCTGTGGGGGTACTCTCAAGGACATCATGTCTATAGCCAATCTTAGGAGTCTAAAGGTTCTCTTTTAGCACTCATCCATTATTTAATATTCTCATGTGACTGTTGTGACCAGATTCCGCAGCTCTTAACCAAGCTGCCTGACGTATCTACTTTCTTCTCAACCTGTCTTCCAGTGGGGCCAATCACAAAAGATGAGTAAGGCAATATCGCCAGTAGTTAACCCGACTTCCTCTTCGGTCTTCACAAACCACCATCCCTCCACTATCCCATCTATCAACCAAGCTGGGCAAGTCCCCCGTGGATTGCATCATCCATCTCCTTTTTCCAGCTGAAACTTAAATTAAAGCACGAAATTAAAGCGCAAGTTGATGCGAAAAGCTGTTGACATCATCACGCCATGACGCGCAATCGCAATCCAAACGATGCTAGCAGGATAGACATGCCGCCAATAGAATCATGGACGGCCATCCCATCCTCCGATCCCAAGAACCTCCAGATCCGCATCTCGAGTCAGTTCACATACTACCAACCTACTTGGGCTTCAACCAGCGTGAATCATCCGGACCGCCACCGACCAGTGCTCGCTTCCCTCCCCGGGTCTCGCTCTCGGCTGTCTTGCCTTTTCTGCAGGCTCCTCGGCATCAGCACGAACACGAAATAACACACTTGATTGCGGAAGCGATGTTGATGGTATCAGTGTCTGTGTCGGTATCGGTATCAGTACAGGGTGTGGCTCGGTGAGATACTATAGATGGGATTCAAGCCAAGCCAGACTCTTTTCTTTCTCTTTCTCTTTCTCAGCCAGGCTACTTACTATCTCCATCGGCCCGGCACCCACCAGACCAGACCATGTCAGCCGATCTGACACATTCCCAACCATCATCCAGGTCTCCCTTATCAAGGTCCAAATTCAAATTAACGGTCAATACACCATGCTATCTACCCCATCAAGCCCCGACGGCCAAACAAAGGACAATGTGATTGAAAGTCTACCATCCGGTCCCAACCCGGGTGTGTAACATCAACATCATCATCATTATTATTATTATCTTACTTTACAAAGGGCCCTTCCCGCATAGAAGACAGCCATGGTGTCCATCCAGCTATCTATCTCTTTAAATACCTGGCGACATTCACAGCCACTCTCACAGTTACAGTTACAGTCACAATCACAATCAACCCAAGATCCACTCGCATTCCATTCCATCCCTATCCATCCAGCACCAAGGACCTCCAACTCAACCTGCTGCCATCAAAATGAACATCGCAATCACCGGGATGGGGCTGCGCTTCCCCGGCCAAGCGACCAGCCCTGAGCGGTTCTGGGAGATGCTGGTGCGGGGCGAGAATGCCTGGTCGCCTCCTTCCCTTCCCTCTCCGCGGGAAGAGGTTCATGCTTCGATGTCGATGTCGATGTCGAGGGAGAATGTGCGTGCGTGCGTGTGTGTGTTTTACTTGATTTGAACCGAAAAGACTCAAGTTCTCGTGTCTTGTGAAGGCTAACGGTTCTCGTAAAGGTCACGCAGATGAAAGGCGGCCATTTCCTGGCGCAGGATCTCGCGGCTTTCGATGCAGGGGCGTTTCGGATTACCAAGGATGAGGCGGAGGTATGCTACGCCCATGCGGTGGTTAGCATGATTGTGGTTAATAGATATGGAAATATAGGCCATGGATCCCCAGCAGCGGATTCTGCTGGAGGTGACGTACGAGGCTCTGGAGAATGGTGCGCATTATTACCATTTCGCATTTACTATTACCATCCACCACCTCAGCGTCAGGTGCTAATATTAACCTCCCACAGCTGGAATCCCTCTGAAATCAATCGCAGGAAGCAACACAGCCGTCTTCGTGGGCAAATTCACACAGGACTACGAGGCACTGCTTGCAAAACACGGAACACAAAAAGGACGATACAGCGCCACAGGGACCAGCCACGCCATCTTGGCAAATCGCCTATCGTATTTCTTCGACCTCAAAGGCCCAAGTGTCACCATCGACACTGCCTGCTCGGCCAGCTTGGTCGCCCTGAACCAGGCCTGTCAGAGCCTTGTCACGGGGGAGTCGGAGATGGCGATTGTCGCGGGCGTGAATCTGATCTGTCAGCCTGATATGACGGTCTGCTTGGATAAATTGGGGTATGTCTCAATTTCACCGTTTTCCTGTTTGGCGCGGTAAAAGTGTGTCTAACAATCGTCAGTGTCTTATCCCCAGACGGACGCTCTTACCCATTTGATGCGTGTGCAGGGGGTTACGGCCGCGGCGAGGGCTGCGCATGTCTTGTCCTGAAGCGCTCGCACACTGCTGTACAGCACGGCGACCCCATCAGAGCAGTCATCCGCAACTCCGGCGTGAACTCGGATGGACATACCCCCGGCATCACATTCCCCAGCGGAGAGGCCCAGGAGTCTCTCATAAGACAGACGTATGAGAAGGCCGGACTCGATCCCCGGGATACGATCCTCATGGAGGCGCACGGAACAGGCACCAAGACAGGCGACCCGATCGAGGCTAGAGTCATCCATAGGGTCTTTCAAGAGAACCGGGATAGCAACATCCCTCAGTACTTGGTGTCTACGAAGGGGAATATAGGCCACCTTGAGGGTGCCAGTGGTCTCGCAAGCGTGATCAAAGCTGTCCTGTCGCTCGAGAAAGGTGTTATTCCGCCGAACTGTGCCTTTAAGACGCCCAATCCTCATATTCCGTTGGATGGATGGAAGCTGCAGGTTAGTACCACTATCTTTGTATGCATCACCTCCCATGCGGCTTGCTGACAAGCCTCAAGATCCCCACCAAGGCTCAGAAATGGCCACCTAACGCCGCCAAACGCGCATCCGTCAGCTCATTCGGGTTCGGGGGTACCAACGCCCACGTTATTCTCGAAGCAGGTCATGGGCCCCGTCATCCGCCTCCTCATCCTCACCCAGCCTCAGCAAATAACCCACCCAACACATCCAAGCTCGATAAATGGATTTTCACATTCTCATCCTACGACAAGACCTCCGGCGCGCAACTGATCCGAAACATAGCCGACTATCTGGCCTCTCGCGAACCCAAAGACACCCATTTCATGCACAGCCTCGCCTACACTCTTTCCGAGAAGCGCTCGCTACTCCCCTACCGGTTCGCGGCCTCTGCGTCCACGCCCCAAGAGCTTGCGACGATTCTGGGCAAGAGTGATCAGAAACTGCAGAAGCCAGCGAATACGGCGAACACGGCGATCGGATTCGTGTTCACGGGGATGGGCGCGCAATGGCCGGGGATGGGGCTGGAACTGTTGGAGGATTATCCGGTCTTTAGAGAGAGTATTGCCAGGGCGGATGACTGTTTGAGGTCGTTGTGCTGTTCTTGGACGGCGACAGGTTTGTTGACAGTCCCTATGTTCTGAAGATGAAAACAGCTGACGTTCAGCAGCGGAATTAACCAAGAAGAGCGAGGAAAGCCGCGTCAACGAGCCGCAGATGAGCCAGGTGCTGTGCACAGTTGTACAGATGGGGTTGGTTGACCTTCTGGCTTCATGGAACGTGCGTCCAGCAGCTGTCATCGGCCACTCCGGGGGCGAAATTCCCGCTGCATACGCTGCAGGCGGTCTATCCTTCGAGGCTGCCCTCCAGGTCGCCTACAGTCGAGGCTACCTCATGTCGAAGCTAGCGGAGAAAGACAAAGACGCCGGCGGAATGCTTGCCGTAGCTCTCCCGGCAGACCAAGTTCAGCAATACATCGCAAAGGTCAGAAAAGGCAAGGTGAGCGTTGCATGCTATAACAGCCCCTCAAACGTGACTGTCTCAGGCGACATCGCTGCGATCCAAGAGCTCGAAGAAATTCTATCAGCTGAGAAAACCAATGCCTTTACGCGAAGACTCAACGTAAACCTAGCCTACCACTCCCATCGAGTCGAGCAGATCGCCGATCAATGCCGAGAAGCCCTCCACGACATCCAGTCTGAAGAGACCGGTCAAGCACGGTTCTATTCCTCCGTGGAGGGCTCCGAGCTAGGAATCAGCGCTCTGGGCACCGAATACTGGGTCCAGAACATGACGTGCCCCGTCCGCTTTTGCGAGGCGTTGACAGCCATGTGCCGCGGCTCTGGGAAGAAGCGCAATGAGCTCGATATGCTCCTGGAGGTTGGTCCCCATTCAACCTTGGCAGGGCCGATCAGGCAAACGCTGGATGCGCTGGACACCGGTGGCTCGGTTACAAAGCCCAGGATCAACTATGCGTCGTGTCTCGCCCGCAATATCGATGCGGTGTCGACGGTCACTACCGCTGCAAGCTCGTTGTTTATGGCAGGCTGTGCGGTGGATATATCCCAGGTTAATCAGCATCAGCCTGGAGTACCGCCTGAAATTTTGGTGGATCTGCCTCCTTATCCGTGGAATCATACTTCGAAGTACTGGTGCGTTTCCACGGGCAATACGTTGGCGCCTTCAGTCAGCCCAAAAGTCACCGATGGCCGGAACTCCCATTTTTATAAAGGTGAAGATGAAGCGCAGTACCCTGTCAAGGCCCCCGAGAAAGGGAACCGAGCAGTAGAGCCGCCCTCGCCGGTCCAGAACACTGAGTATAGTCCTCTCAACCCTCAGATCCAATCTGCAGAAGAAAGCAACGGTGCATCCTATGAGTTGCATCGAGCGATCTGGTACGACATTGAGGATGCGGCGCAGGAGCACTACATCCGGAAGACCGGTTCCAGCGGAGATCAGGACACAAATGTATCACACATGATCCAGGCGCTGAACAACGCAGCCGACTTCTACATGCGACGCGCCTTGGAGTCAATCACACCAACCGATCTCGAAAAGTTGTCATATCACCATCGTCTCCTGGTCCAACTTCTCAAATCATTCCAAGACCAACCCGATACCAAACAGTCCACCCACCCTGGCAATCAAACTCAGACTCTAGACAGCGTGCGAGATTCAATCACAGGCTGTGGCGCTGAAGGCAAGATGCTTTGCCGAATCGGCGAGAACCTAGCCCGCATCCTACGCCGTCAAATCGACCCACTCTCACTGATGCTCGAAGGCGACCTGCTCTCCGAATACTACCGCTCCGCCTTCGGCATCACCAGTTGCCACAAGAATCTAGCCGCCGTCGTGGAAAGCCTCGCCCTGGACGGCCGGAAACTGAACGTTCTTGAAGTTGGGGCGGGGACCGGAGCGTCCACTCTCGCCGTGCTGCAAGCGCTGAGCAAAGATGGTGTGAAAGACCTGCCGCTCGCCCGGTATGACTTTACAGATATCTCGCCGGGGTTCTTTGAGAAGGCGCGGTCACTGTTCCGGCCGTGGTCGGATTACATGAACTATAAGGTCTTGAATATCGAGGATTCGGCGCTCCAGGGCTTTCGGAGCGCGGAATATGATCTCATTGTGGCGGCAGATGTGATCCATGCTACACGGAGTATCAACAGGACGCTGACGCATTTGAGAAGGTTGCTGAAACCGGGGGGGAAGCTGGTATTTATAGATCTGACTAATCCTCCGCTGAGATGGTCGATGATTTTCGGGACTCTGCCTGGTTGGTGGTTAGGTAGGATTATCCCTCTGTCCAAGGTGTAGCGGATACTGACAGCGAACAGGCGCGGAAGAGGGCCGCACGAAGGGTCCCGCCCTTAGTGAGTCGGAATGGAAACAAGCCCTCTGCGACACATCCTTCTCCGGGCTGGATGTCTGCGAGAGAGACTTCGCGACGGAGCATGTCCATAGCCTGATGGTCTCGACAGCGGTGGAAGGTCCCCCTTCCCCGTCCAAGTTTCCTCCTTGCCGGATTGTCGAGTTTTCGAATGCTGACTCCGACTCTCTCAACACCCTGATCTCCCTGCTGAAGAAACGGGGCTTTGGAGAGGTTTCAGTCTGCGATCTCGCCTCTGATCTGTCCAGTCTAGCAGGGGCAATATGCATACTTCTGGCCTCGCCAGGGAGGGGAAAGGGAGATGCTGACACAAAGACATCCCTACAGCAGCTGTCGCAGATAGCGGGTAAGAGCAACGGACTGCTTTGGGTCACTTGTCAAGCGGACAGCCCCGAGGGCATACCCGGGGCATGTTTCGCGAGCGAATTTGCAGCACATCTGCGAAAAGATGGCGCCAACATCGCGACGTTGAACATCGATACGAAGCGGGTGCATTTCGATCATGAGACATCAGACATCGTCTCCCATGTTACGGAAAGAGCGTTTGTCGCCTCAAACCCGCCAGCCTACACGGACTGGGAGTTCCGGCAGAGAGCTGGCCAGGTCCAAGTTCGGCGACGATCTTCCATCCCAGTTGCGCAAACGCCTCCGCCACGGGGGGCGAAGCTATCACCGCAGGTACCGAGGCATACAGCGTCTCCTGCAGAGAAACAAACTGGAGACCAAGACGAGGTCGATGCCGTCTATCATGCCATGCTCGGGGAAGTCTCAGTACACCTGTCGTCTCTCGGGTGTCCAGCGATGGTAGTCGAGCGGGTTCAAACAGTAAGCCGAGTCTTAACCCAAACTTTTAGCTCTCCCCTCATGAACCTCTGCAGTGCCTCGCAGAAGTCACCAAAGGCGGCAAAATGACGCGCTGTCTCATGCCCCTGGAAACCGGGCGACGCTGCCTCCCCGACCAACTCACCCGCACCCAAGCCCACGATCTAATCCGACTCGGCTGGATCATCGAAATGACACATGCCGCCATCCTAATGGAAGACGACATGATGGACGCATCCATCTTCCGCCGGGGCTCACTCTGCCGCCACCTACAGCCCAACATCGGCATGACAGCCATCGCAGATGCGCGCATGCTCCGCACATCCGCCAGGTACCTCCTCCGGCAGCACTTCTCCTCGCACCCCAGCTACGCGCAGCTCCTCCACCTGGTGAACGAAATGTCCTTCCACGTCGACATCGGCCAGATCACCGACGTCCACCTCGCCAACACCACCTTCCTGGGCTTCCGCCACTTCGACATGCAGACGTACAACTTCCTCATCCGCCACAAAACCGCCTGGTACAGCTTCTTCCTCCCCGTAGCTCTAGCCGCGCACTACCTCCACCTCCCCGCCACGGCTGATCTCTCACACATCGAGAACATCATGGTCGCCGTGGGTATGTACTTCCAGGCGCAGGACGATTACCTCGACCTCTTTGGTGATCCTGCCGTCACCGGGAAGTACGGAAATGATGTGCATGAGCGGAAGCTCGCCTGGCCGATTGTTGAGGCGTTGCAGAGATGCGGGGAGAGGGATAAGAGCTTGCTGGAAACGGGGTATAGTGATGGGAATGTGGAGCTTGTGAAGGGCGTGTTGGAGGACTTGGGGATGCAGCGGGTGTATGCTGAGTTTGCGGACCGCACGCATAGGGAGATATTGGGGTTAATTGGGGAGGTGGATGAGAAGGGGGGGCTGAAGAGGGAGTTGTTTGAGTTCTATTTAGCGAGGTTGTATAAACGGGATAAATAAGTAGGTTAGTAATGGTGCTGTGCTAGATAGAGCTGGGTTGGATTTGGGCGCCGGATAACATCTTTTCCCTTCGTTTAATCTATGTTGTTGTATGTCTGTTTTCTTTTCGTGGTAGCTGCGCTTGCTGCTTGGTAGTTGAACGTGTTCCGGTAGAGAAGCCATGAATGCTATTTGATTGTTCTGTCCAGCTGGGTATTGGTTGTTCTTGGTGACTATTCCTGGTGGTTGTGGTAAGGATGTTCAGCGCGGGGAGTTTATATTGTCCGCCATCGCATTGCCCCGGCAGAGCATTTCTCATCAGAGCGCTGTCTTGGGGATGGATTGGTTAGGTTTTCCATTGGATTAGAGTGGATATGGCTAACTGAAGGTAAAACAGACAAATTTTGTTGGCCAGGAAAGTAGACAAGTTGTGTTGATGGAGAGAGAGAGAGATAGAGAGACGGAAGAGGGAAGAAAGTGGAGCTCAGGGTCCGGGCGGTCGCCGCAAGGTCGAGACCGATGCATCCTCAGGCTCACGCTCCCACGAACTGCCCCTTTCCCCTCATCATTCTCTTCTTTCTCCCCCCCCCCTCCATACTCGCTCCTCCCCCCCCCCAACAATGCTCTCCGGCATCCTCATCTTCAACCAGAAGGGCGAGAACCTCATTTTCCGCGCCTTCCGCAGCGACTGCCGCCCGCGCCTGGCCGACATCTTCCGCATCCAGGTCATCTCCAACCCGCAGGTCCGCTCCCCGATCCTGACCCTGGGCTCCACCACCTTCAGCCATGTCAAGCACGAGAACATCTACCTGGTCGCCGTGACCAAGAGCAACGCCAATGCCGCGCTGGTCTTTGAGTTTCTGTACCGCCTGGTGGTGCTGGGGAAGAGCTACTTCGGGAAGCTGGATGAGGAGGCCGTGAAGAATAACTTTGTCCTGATTTATGAATTGCTTGATGGTATGTCCCCCTACGCATTCAACTCAGCCAAACCTCAATGCAATGAACGCGCAATCCTAACCTTCCTCTCCCCTTCTCCCAGAAATCCTCGACTACGGCTACCCGCAAAACACCGAAACCGACACACTGAAAATGTACATCACAACGGAAGGCGTGAAATCCGCGATCGCCAACTCAGCCACCGACTCCAGCCGAATCACCATGCAAGCGACAGGCGCGCTCTCCTGGCGGCGCGCCGACGTCAAATACCGCAAGAACGAAGCCTTTGTGGACGTGATCGAGGACGTGAACCTACTCATGTCCGCGACCGGAACGGTGCTGCGCGCCGACGTCAACGGCCAGATCATCATGCGGGCGTACCTGTCCGGCACCCCAGAGTGCAAATTCGGGCTGAACGACCGTCTGCTCCTCGACAGCGGGGACTCGAGCACCTCCTCCAGCACACCCGGAAACCGCGACGGCACGATGAAGGCAACGCGGGCGGCCGCGGGATCAGTCACACTGGAAGACTGCCAGTTCCACCAGTGCGTGAAATTGGGACGGTTCGACGCGGACCGCATCATCTCGTTCGTGCCCCCCGACGGCGAATTCGAACTCATGCGCTACCGCGCGACCGAGAACGTCAACCTCCCCTTCAAAGTCCACCCGATCGTGCGCGAAGTCGGCACCACGAAAGTCGAATACAGCGTCGCCATCAAGGCAAACTACAGCTCGAAACTCTTCGCGACCAACGTCGTCATCCGCATCCCCACCCCGCTTAATACCGCCAAGACGACCGAGCGCACCAGCCAGGGCCGCGCCAAGTACGAGCCCGAGCATAATAATATCGTGTGGAAGATCGCGCGGTTCTCGGGCGGCAGCGAGTTCGTGCTTACGGCAGAGGCGACGCTGACCAGCATGACGCACCAGAAGGCGTGGAGTCGGCCGCCGCTGAGTCTCTCGTTTAGTTTGCTCATGTTTACGAGCTCGGGGTTATTGGTTCGGTATCTCAAGGTCTTTGAGAAGAGTAATTATAGCAGTGTCAAGTGGGTGAGGTACATGACTCGCGCGGGGAGTTATGAGATTCGGTATGTTTCCCCCCCCTTTCTTCCTGCTTTCCTTTTCACCCTTATGCTGTTCGTTCTGCTTCTGCTTGGCTTGTGGGTGGTGTGAGCAAGAGTGAGGATATGCTAACTGTATACGAAACAGATTCTAGTATCTGTCCCTGCAGGCAGGACAGCGTTTCCAATACCATATCATATCCATCATCTATTCATCCTCATCCCCATCCACATCATCCACATCCTCATCCACATCCACACCCACACCCACATCCACATCCACATCCTCATCCTTCCGTCGAACGTACAATACGATTCGATTGTTCATTACCAGCATCAAGCTCGGGGTCTGGCGTTGATTGGTTCATTCATTCTTACATCCGTGCTTCTATGCCGTGGTTGTCTTCGAGTTGTATATGTACTAGTAGTTACTACATGGCATGCATGCATGCATGCATGGCATCGATTAGTTTTGATTTCGATCATGTGATAATTTTCTTGGTCATGGTTAATTAATTGATTGATTCATCGATCACACGATCGATCAATGATAAAAAAGTAAGCCAGTCAGTGAATATTCAGTAGCTAGCTATATACGCTTTTAGCTAGTCTAGATATTGATACCATCCAGCTATCAACTCCGTAACTAGATAGATAGCTGGAATTTATTCCGTCTCTACGGAGCTCTCTACATGCCTTCGTAAGATATAATATAACATGATATAACCTAAGGCACTAAGGCAGGCAGACAGACAGGCAGACAGGCAGACAGGCAGACAGGCAGACAGGTAGTATGTATCAATGAGAATAGAAAGAGTAAGGGACCTGTGGTACTAGCCAGAAGGTAAGTAATTGGGTCTCAAAGCGACCCAAGTTTCCAACAATCACCGCCCACGAGGTGAGGCAGGCACACATCCCACGTTCGCGGAAGAGGAAATCCGAACCAGTCGCGCCCCAGAAACGAAGGCACAAAGAGTACTTACACATGTAAACATCTGGTGGTACGGAGTACTTACCTTGGTTGGGTTTCTAGGTAGCATATGTAAATAGATAGATAGGTAGGTAGGTAGATGGATGGATGGATGGATGGATGGATGGATGGTAGATAGATAAATAACCAGCCAGCTAGATAAATATAATAATAATAATAATAATAATAATATACACCCCATTCCCGAATTTTTCCGTCTGACCCAAGGTAAAAAAGAAATTAGTCAATACACAAGCCGAAGATGGAAAAATGGAATAGGTATCCTGAACACCAAATAAGACTTAAACCCAAACATAACAATAACATGTCCATCCATATCCAAAACCCAGTCCCATGCCCATATCATACATAAATAAACCCATGGACAAAACCCAAAACTCAAAACCCAAAAAAACCCAAACAGAGCAAACAGATGAACAGATAAACAGATAAAAAGATAATAGATAATACAAACATAGCGGCTTCCATCAAGGAAGGATCGCTCGGGTCGGTACACATGACATGAGGGAACATAAATGGCGTTCGTGAAGGAGAGCGCGAAATGAATAGAGGAATGATGTGATGTGATGCCTGCTAAACAACGGAGACGGAGACGGAGACGGAGACGGAGACGGAGACAGGCCTGCTAAGACAGATACAGAGAGCAGAGAGTAGAGAGCAGATAGACACGAAGGCAGGAAAAGATAGAATTATCTCATCTCATCTCAAGCCTCCCTCCCTATCCGCCCCGTATCCGTCCGTAAGCCGACATTTCCCTCTCTCAGGAGCGTCTCCCACCTCCGTCCGACGGAAGCATGGTCATCCTGTCCTAATAACCGGGCGCAGTCCGCCCAGTCCTGTGACGAGAGTTGGATTTTCTGGAGGACGATGTTGATGAGACGGTTGTCTGTGGAGGGGGTCCAGGCGGATTGCTGTTGTTGATTATCGTCCTCTTGAGAGGGCTTAGAGTCCTCGATGGACGGGATCGCCGAGTCGGGGTTATACGATGTATGTACTTCCTCTTCCTCTGATGAGGACAGTCGTCGCGGCGACGGAGGAGACTGTGTGACTGGGGGCGAGCGAAGCGAGTGGAAGTCTGAGGATGAGAGGCCTAGCGGCAAGTCGCAGGGGAGTTGTCTTTGGCGTTTGGGTGTGGAGAAGCGGGGACGCGGTAGGTCTGCTTCAGAGTCCGAGTCGGATTCGTAGGCGTCGCGACGACGTTTGTTTGCGCCGCGCGGGGGCCGCGACGGAGAGAGACTGGTGGTTGTGGTGGTGGTTGTGGAGGACTCGTACTCGATCTCGTTCTTCCGCGACCGGGCGGAAGGTGGCGAGCGGAGCTGGAGGGGACTTTGCAGGCGCTTGGAGGATGCGCGGGGCGCGGGAGACACGCTGAGGAGGGATTGCAGGGCGCGACAGGTGCCGAGGAGGCCGTTGCCCGAAGGCGGGATGAAGTCGTCGTCTGAGGGAGGTGGTGTGGTGAAGAAGTGGCTGGCGGCGAGGCGCGGTTGTCGCATGGTGTCGTCGCGGGGAAGTGCGGACGGGAGAAGCATGTTGAGTGGGGTGTGTGAGATGAAGGCAGCTAGGTGCGCGGAGGGATTGAAGACGGTAGATGATGGAACGAGCGATTGATAGTTGGGATGGTGGTGGTGGTGGTCTGTGCCTGGCGTTTGTGCGCAGCGCGAAAGGGGTGTTTGTTTGCGCCGGAGGGAGTCTTGAGGAGAAACGGGCGAGATGGGACAGAAAAAAGATCGAGATGGGAATGGGGAGGACAAGCGCTTTCAGCTGCGGTAGTTCCGGGCGATGCGACGATGTCAGAAGAGCAAGAGGGGGATGGAGTTGAAAATGATGTTGGGATGATGTGACGCGCAGCGGCGAAAAGGAGCGAGTGCCTGGGGAGTGCCTGGGGCTGCCGGGTTTTCAGTGTTCGGCTCGAGTGCCGCAACCGTCATCCAATGACGAGGGGCCCGTCCCAATCCGGTCTGCAGAATGCTCTTGAAACGCACTAGCACAAGCCTGCGATGGGAATGTGATATCACAAAATGAATGAATGGATGGATGAATAATAGCAACAGCAAAAACAGCAGCAGCAGATGAATGATTGTGTGAAAGTGTGAAAGTATGAAAGAGTGAAAGAGTGACTTCAGCCCTGGTGCTTCATTCCTTCTCCTGCGCCCTCGATTTCTCTTCCTTTGCTCCTCTCTCGAGCCAGGGAAGGCCCTATTTTTAACGGTTGACTCCCTCTGCCTGCCTGCCTGCCTGCCCCTCCACTAAGTCCGCCGACTGAGACAAGGAGTCGAGGAGTCAAGGAGTCGAGGAGCCGGAGCGATGCGGGCTGCAAGGCATTGAGACCTGTCCGACAGCCCGACTCCACCGGACGTCAGCTGGCGCATCACCAGCTGGGCCGTGCCGTAGTGGGACGCTGCATTGCAGTTGCAGCCGCGCTGATGAGGTTGTCATGTGTACGGAGTTGTTATTCTACTGCCTGTTGGTCGACTGCCTACTGAAGACGCGCTGCGCTGCTCTGCTCTGCTCTGCTTTGTCTCAACGGCAGATACAGCCGCCCTCTTTGAATCCTTCTTTGAATCCTTGGAGACGCCCCAGGGTGGTCTGTCTTGAACTATATCTCGACAGGTGGTTGGGATGATAACCTGGATTCCCTATCCCATCTCCCTCCAGACCCTGGAACTGAACCAGTCCCTCTTTTGGACCGATCATAAAAGCGACGACTTCCCCGTAGAACTCGAATGAACCCGACCATCTGCCTGCCTCGTCCTTCAAGAAGGACGACGACGATGCCGTGGCCAGTCGTGTAATTTTCGCCAGACGCAATACGGCGCCTTCCCGAAACGGCAAAAATGGGTATTGAACGCGCTCGCGTCCGTGTCGCGTTCGCGCGCGTGTGCCTGGTGCGCGCCCGCCAATCAGGGCCGGGCCCGTGCCCGGTGGGTGCCTCAGGTGACACGACGAGGACGTCGTTGCTTCAGTCAATGATATCAATGATCCTTCAATGATTCATTCGCGTCCATAACCAGCCACCCCTTGGCGGGACTCGGCAAAGCACAGAAATCCCCGAGGAGGTGACAAGAAATCCAGGAGGTTAGATGCTTTTCCTCCTATCGCTGCATCTTATCGCCCTCTCCCCGCCTCCTTGCTTGCCCCTCGGACAGACACTTCACGTTCAAGCGTCAAAGACTGATATCCACATTCTTCCTCAGGGCAGGGCAAGGAGCCGCCCCGTGGTGGCTACCATTGCGCCCTGTGGCTGGACGCGGTTCCTCCCTCGTGTCTCTGGATCGTGGAACCTACTGACTGATGACTGCGCTGCGCGTTAGACCGTCCTCGTTCCTTTCTTTTGTCCGACTCCTGTCGTCGTCCTTACTTCGCTGCGCTGCACTCCGTACGTACCCTGGGCTGCGTCGGAAAAATCACACGGGCTGCTGCATCGCATTATCTCGCAGCGTTGCGCGCAAGCACGGACGGGTATATTCTACGGGACTGCAGCAGCAGCAGCAGCACACAGACCGACAGACAGATCGACAGAGGGACATGAGTATTGCAATGCGAGGAGCATAGACAACACCAGCACGCCCACCACCGCAGACAAAGAACACCACAACACAACACAACATCTCACCCGCAAGCCGGAATCAGCATCCAGACCCAACCCAAACAAGGAGAAACAACCACAACCACCACCCCTGTACCACCATTGCCATACCCTCCCTCCCTACCACCAGAACCTCAACTGACAATCCAAACCATGAGCCAAAACCGACCCAATCCCAAGCACACTTCCTACGTGTCTACGACTCAGCCCCTCTCCCAGCCTCCGCGCAAAATCTCCCGTGCATGCAAGGGATATCGGACAATTCGCGCCAGGACCACCGCCACCCCCGGGTATGCGAATCACGGCACCTGCAGCTAGCTGCAGGGCGAGACATTGACACATGCGGCGCGTTCGTGCTGCTGCCCTAGCTGGCTGTGCTTCTGGGTCTTGCTTTCGGGTGCCCTGAGTGGTGTAACTGTAACTGTAACTGTAACTGTAACTGTAAATGTAACCTCACGCTTAGATTGGTAGTTAGTTGGCTCGAGACGCATAAGCGTGTCTTGGATGGATGATCGGTCGCTCTTCCTGTCTGGCTGTACGTACGTCTACGTGTACGTGTACTTGGACTTGGACTTTTGTGAGTTGATCAGAGTATCCCTAGCGTAGAGCCAGCCCCTCGTAAACTAAAATAGCATACTACGTCTACCCATAATATGTACTACTACTACTACTTCTACTGCTGGATGATGTGATAGCCTTACTTCATCCTTTGTCCTATCCAAACTTCTCCATACCTAGTGGAGTATCCGTACCATCCATCGGAAATTATCCACCATTGTACAGTAATCCAATCCATTCCAATCAATCCAGCCATATCCTCCACACATACTATAGTTAATCCACCCACGCCCTTAGGGTCTTAAGTAGGTACCCAAAAACACCCCACAGAAACCCCCTGTACTGCTTACTACTCTCAAACCCCCTACCCCTACAGTCAATCCACCCACATGACCCAACCCAAACCATAGAAAGACACAGTGCCAAGCACCAGCAGACCACAGCAAACCAGACAAGAGTAGACTAGACCAGACCATACTAAAGAAAACTAAAGAAAACTAAAGCAAACTAAAGCAAACTAAAGCAGAACATAATCCTACCTAGAGTCCCCTACCGCCCAACAGACCGTCGCCCCTCTCAGGCATCATCTGAAAACTTCAAAATCGCGTATATTTATAAAATTATGATTTTATTATATTTTTTTGTTATTTTTTAATAAAATAATAAAAAATTCAGTTGGATTAATCTGTTTAATAATTATATATAATTAATAAAATAAAATAAATATAAATATTCTAATAATACTGCAAGTCAGGATTCTTAATAGTATTTTATAAGAGATTATTAATTCGCGGTAATTCTGAAGATAGAAATATAGCTTTATATTATTTAATTAAATTATTAAACTATAAAGCACTTGCTATAAAGATTAAAGACTTATAAATATTCTGACTTAATAATAAAAAGAGACTATATAATCTCTTAACAGTCTTATTCTTTTATTATATTATATTAGCTATAGCTTATTAAAACAGCCGCTGCGCAGGCATTGCAGGCGGTTAAAACAGTATTATTATTATAAATATTATAGATATTACAAATATTACAGATATTGCAGATATTATAGATATTACAGGCATTGCAGGTATTACTGTGATAGAATAACCCAGCTATCGGGATAAAGGTCATCGGGATGATGTATTATAGTGATTGTGAGAGTTATGTTATCAGGATGATGTGTTATAGTGATTATAAGAGTTATAAGATTATTAATAATGATTCTATATCTCTCTAATATCTATAAGATATTAATCTCTCTATAAGAAGCTATTAATTCTTCAAGAATTAGTCTATCTTATAAATATAGACTATCTTTGTTATTATTAAATAAATATACAGTATTTTATAATTAATTTCTTATTTAGTTAACAGGCTTTTTATTCTAATAAGTAGATTTTATTATATTCTAATTCTTCTTTTTTTAACTATCTAAGAAAGATACTATTTATTAAAGATAATAAAGAAATAAAAATACTTAGTAATTAAATTAATTTAGAACTTTTACTAAATATTATTTTTATTATTAAAGAGATTTAACAGCTAGAAGATTATATTTATTAATTAGAATAAGCTATTAACTTATAGTAAAGAATAGCTTATTTCTAAAAAAATAGCTCTTTGAGTAAAATCTTTTTAAAATATTATTAATTCTTCTCTGAATTAAAAAAGAATAAGAGAGAGATTAAATTTAAAGATATTTCTTACTTTACTCTGAACTTTAATTTTTAAAAATATTAAAAATAAATTATTAATTTAAAATATATATTCAGAGATATATCTAAGAAATATTTATTAAAAAAATATAAGATTCTTATTATTATTAACTATATAAATCCAGTATATAGACAGAGATAATATTATTTTATAAATAATAAAAGTCTGAAAGAGAGATAATTTCTTGAGAAATTATAATCTTAATTTAAAGATTAGACTTTTATACTAATTTAGAATATTATTACTTTTTAATTAAATACTATAGTCTAATTTAAACAGACTTATCAGTAATATAGCCAGAATCCGCGAGAGTTTTATACTTATCTTAATATCTTAGAGCAATACTTTTCTTATTAAGCAGAAAAGAAAAAAATCTTATTCTACTTTACTAAGCTACTATCAGATCTAAATTATTATATTTAAGAAGGAAAATGCAAGCGAAATAATAATTAATTCAGTGATTATAAGCCACGCAAGCGCTTTCAAGAAATTACTAGTAAAATTATTAAGAAAGATATTCTGAATTATAGAGAAAACTCTATCAGAAAGAATAGTAATTAATTATAATATTTTATATATAAAAATATTTAATATCTTGTAAATTAATATTCTATTAAAAATAAAAAAATTTAATCT